CCACCTGCTCACTAGAAATAGAAATGACCTCATTCATGCATATTCACATGGGGGGTTTAGCATCTTGCCTAAGGACACTTCAAAATGACAGAAACACCAGAGAAAGGGGGGAAACAAATGGAAAACATGGAAGAACACTAAAACACAACTGGAGTCATGGACGAACAGTGACAGTCATGCTGCGAAAATGAAACAGTATAACTTTATAATCCCAGAAGTGAATATGCCCTTGAAGCGTTCCCAGACCTGCAAATCCAGCACTGCACCAATACCTGCAGCACAGCAGAACATTCACAGAAAATTGAGTGTGATAGGTTGTTACAGGGAATGTAAATTAGATGCGAAATGTAGTCAGTTTTGTTACAGTATAGCGTGGAAATGCCAGACCCTGCTGATGAAGAGGAAGAGAGAAAAGAGCTAAAAATAATAAGAGCTAAGGTGATAAAAGAGAACACATTAAAGACCAATCAAACGGTGAACAAATGAAACAACCCACCAGAGACAACAATGGTGTTGCAAGATACATAGGAGAGCAGGGTGGGAAAGTTGAGAACAGGAAATGATATATACTTTGTAACATTTATGTATTTAGGCCAGGTATGACTGCACTTTTTCAGCAATACCTTTCCTCACATTCATACCTAAATACAGTCACACACTGGGAGCTTCCCAGTACAACAGTACAACATTTCTCACAATTCGGAATTCCATCTGAGCAATCCTACTGATGAGAGAATACGATAATCCTGGAAAATGTCATTTAAAAGAATAACTGACAGTGCTGGTGGTGGGCCTGCCCTTTTCCATCAGCTGACTTTAATGTTATTGTGCTGCCGCGGTTTCATCCTAGCTGATATTAGTTTGGTTTACTGGTTATCTACTGTATGTGTGTGGAATAAATTAACTTGTTAACTTAGGTTCGGGAGCAGGACCACACTTCAACCACACTTCTAGTCACCTGTCAAGACTATATATACACCTGGTCTACTCATCCTGCTCTGTTTGTCTCAGATTGTTCGACCCCTTCCATCCAATAAAGCTGACATGTATGACAGAGAAATTAAGCACAAAGCAAATCATACACAATCTATTTGCAGCCTACGTAGATAATCTATATAGTCATTACATTCTGGTGCACTGTGCCAGTAATGCGAACACATTCCTCCAGATGTGCGGTCTGTGGACATTTCTTAGTTTCTTAAACATGGAATACCGAGACAATTTCCTCTCCACTCCCCTCTTCTTTGCATGTAAAACTCTCATGGCCATAGTCCTGCAATGGCTCTTGTGATCTTAGACATAAAGTAGTGAAGCTTCTTCTGTCACATCAGAACACAGACTCACTATGTGCAGTAGCTCTCGACACATTGAATTATAAAATCAAACGTGTGTTCAGAAAGCGAGCTACTATCCTTGCTGTTCTGATATGATTATACTGCCTAATTGCATTTTTTTATAGCATGGATAACTTGATTATGCCTATGGAGACCAAATGTGTTGCCATGCTATACACTGTAGGGGAAATTAAATTATGCCTGATTACTGAGTGTTTTCCCCCTCCAAATGAAGAGGCAATCAAAAGTTTTTGTTAAAAAAAAATGCTAGTGGACATTGATTATTTGAGAGAGTACATATCAGAAACTGTAAGTTCCCAGGATTCTGAGATTTCACAAGTAAATCTATATGTATCTCTATGTGTCAACCAAGCTCTCCCAGTTTAATCCAACGGCAAGGTTCCAGTTCCAGCCCTTTCACATCTGCAGTTACAGTACAACCTGCACCACCTTTAGGAGAGGAATGTGCAGCTAAAATTCATTAATCATTTTTGTCTAATTGGTTAAACTCACAGCAGCATATAAATGTTCAATTTGTACATTGAGCATTGAATGTTGCCTCATTCAGTTGATAATTCTGGTATTCAGTGAAGAATATCAGGCCATTTGTGTTGGCTTAAAAAAAAACAATGCATCTGTGCATCTGTGCACAGCCAGACAGAAAAACGACGAGTTCCTTTTATGATATCTCCAGCATGCAAAACAACAAATCACCAAACTTTGCCAAGGAAAGGTGGCTGTCAAATAAAGCACTACCATAAATCAGAGCTTTGTCTGGGCATCCATAGCAAGCACACCATTGCCTTAACAGGCCTTGAATAAAGAAGCAGAGGTTTCATGGATACTTCACAGGGCTACATCAATCAACCTTGCTTGTCAGAATGGCTCTGTGTCACAGTCATACAGCTCAACACTGCTCGCTGGTCATGATACTGGGTGTATCGGGGTGACTGCCACTGCATTTCTCTCACTTTTTTAGAAAAACTTTGAAAGAGTTAACAGAAGTTAATCTATATATATATATATTTTTTTTTAGCAACGAGTGGTTTGGCTCTAGCGATGGCAGGCTGAAATTTCTCAACAACTGCAGATGGATTGCAATAAAATTTGGTGCTGCCCTTAACTGCCCACTGAATTTCCATCTAGCACAACCAGCAAGTCATTACTTTCTAATTAAGTCATTGATAGCTTGGCAGTAGGTCATTTATTGATTTGGCTAAAAATCATGTTTGATGATAAAAGCGAAGCAAACAGTATCTATGTTCCATGGACAGTCTCTTTAAGTTGAGATTTAGACATAAGTAAGTTGAACCATAGGAGCACAGCAGTTGCTGAGACAGACATCTGTTGGCTGCCCGCAGGGGTGAAAAGCCCAGTTGTCCCTGGGTGAAAAGACAAACAAGCTGCTGAGACAGACAGCAGCAGTTATCAGAGTAAGGGAACATGAGAAACGCGGTATCCAGCAACTTGCTCTGAATGTCATGAGCTAAAGAACAAGCTGTCTCAACAGCAGCAATGCAGACATGAGCTGAAACAATAATTTTTTTGAATGTTTTTCGATAATCAGCAATTTGTTCTAAAGGGTACAGTCTGTTACGCTCAGATGATGAACTGACACAGGAAACAGATGTTTTGGGCCCAGATGCAGACACTTGAACAGAACAGGTAAAATTAGTGGTCTTTATTTAAACAAATGCAGACGGGGGAAGCAGGAGAGGGCGCTAACAGGAGGCTGTTAGACAGACAGTTGGACAGACCAGGACAAGAGCTAGTGGCTAGCAAGCCATGATAAAGCTTGGTGATTAGCATGCTGTTGGCTAGCTGATGGAAATCCAGCTGTAAGCTGTAATATTTAATGACCAGTCTGCACGAGTACTGTCAGTTTTCAGGCTTTGAAATGAGAACCAAGCTGGGGACAATGCTTTACATCCGTTGTGTATGTTGCAGCTGCTGGCGCATGCACACACATTGTTCACAGACTACACCGTAGACTGTATAAAAGAAGGGTACTTAGTCACTGTTGGTTTGTGGACTTCTGAAGCCTCGAGTTTGTCTTTGCTTAGCAAGGTGCATCTGTAATTCATGTTAATTGTCATTTTAACCGGGATGATAATTTGGGTTAGCGAATAACAGGTTTAAAACAAAATGCACTCAACAGAGAAAGTGAACAGCCGACTCCTAATAAGCTTTTTCAACGTCGCTGGTTAAATTTACACAGCGCCGAGGGTACGAGTCGGCTCTAGCCTGATTGACAGGTCGCTATGGTAACGACTTGTCAGTCATAGATAACCCCGCCCTGAAACATACTCTGCTTTGTGGTCTATTTTAAAATAAATGGGACCATAATTTACTAAATGAATGTATTGAAGAAGACTTGAAACTAGCGACTGAGACCATAAACTCATCAGGAAAGTGTTTACTGGGGTAATTATTCAGCTGAGAAGTAGGGTCATTTTCTCATTATTTCTCTCTGTCTGGACTTCTTTTTGCAACCAGAAGAATCGCCCCCTGCTGGATTTTCAATAGAATGCAGGTTTCAGGGACTTCCGCATTTGCTTCATATTGTAGACCGGAAGCTTCCCATTTGAGCATAACAGGCAAAAAACCTAGCAGGTAGAGAATCAGGCTGGTGGCCAGCAAGGGGGTAAGCCAGGGATCGGACAGTGAAGCTGACCAAAGCCTGCATGGAGGGATCCATGTAGGCCCAAAAATGACGTCAAAACCCTCTGACACCCCGTCACACATGAGAGATGTAACCATATTGCTTACAACAAACTATCAGAGCAATCAGAGACGCTGCGTTGTTGTTTGGCAGGTGAGCCTCGTAGGTGGGCTGATTAACAGTGACGATCCGAGTCAGACAAACACACTGAGCCATGATGAACCATTAAACCACGGTTATGCAGCGCGATCATGCGCAGTAGACGCTGGTGCCAACAGGAAGTAGCCCTGTAGTAGTATTTTATTGGTCCAAAACTGGCTTCACTGCACTCCATTCAATCCATTACTGGCTTCGTCCAGTAATATACTATGGTGGCTAGCTAGCTGAACACCTTGTTCCTGGGGCTGAGGCCTGACTGCAATGGAGACTGGACTAACGAGCAGGGAGAAGAGGAGGGATTAAAAAGTTTTTATAGCCTTGCTACTGGGAATGTGTTATCTGTCTGGCAAACTCTGGGTCCCATTCCCAGAAAGGAACCAGGAACAGGAGGAAGGGCTTTGCATAAAACACCTCCTGTGTTACAGGAGAAATAGGTAGAAACAATGAACTGGCACTGAGTAAGAGGAACAGACCAACAAAATACAGTGGTGGGTGTAATGAGACACAGTAGACAATCAGTGAGCACACAGACAGGAAGCAAAACAAGATGAAACCAGAGACAGAACTACAAAATAAAACAGGAAACACTTAAAACATGAACACCAACACCCCAGGAACCCTAACCCTAACCCAGGACCATGACACAGTCCTCTGCATTTATGAGCACAATGGCAGCACTGTAGTCACTGCATGTCTGCATAGGAGAAGCTGTGTAATCTCATCATCAATGTCTGATTTGGGACATTGGCCAACATTTGGATTTGACATAAATAGTTATATGTATCAGACAGGGTGTCTAAGACGGGCCTAATAAATACAAATAAAACTGAAGGTGACACAATCAATTAACTTGTTATATCTTTAATTAATTCAACAAGCAAAGCGTAAAGTTATAGTTTTACACAGGGTTAGGTGCCAAAACTGTTTCTTGGTTGGCTGGCTGGTTTGGTAATCTCACAATATATTGAGTGTTATTTCCAAGGCAGAGATCCTAAAGGTGCAACTCATCAGCACAATGTTATCAGTAACATTTCTATTTTAATAATACAATATGTGTCTGTAAGCTACTCTCTGCGAGAGCATTGAGAGCTCCTTAGCAGAGTAAGGCATGTGGCATATTGTGTCATATTATCAGTACGGTAAAAGCAATTTTAAAAACATCTGATCAGTAGGATACCTTTCATCTTTAATGAGATGTTTATCCCTCTCATATTACAGTAGCTTTAGTTGTATGCACACAGTAATAAATGTCGGCTGACATGTATGCCTGTAATCATCTTGAAATATAAGTGAGAAATATTGAGGATATACAGCATATTATGTGACGATTAAGTTAGGGAGCCCATAAAGAATGCAGTTGAAGGCTGAGGGTGTGAGAGTCGTTTTATGGTGAACATCGTCTCTCTTTGTGTCAGTGAGGAGCAATTGATCTGCAGAGGAAAACCAGAGAAAGCAATATTTATATCTGATGGTTATTTTGAAATCAAGCTGTGTTGGATTCATAATTTGAATAATTCTGCATGGCGTTTATTTTTTCTTCTTGCAAAGAAACCGAAGCCTGGACTTGAATGTATTTATTTTATGTGTAAATAGAAATGCAAATGCGAGGCTAAATGAGGTAGCGAGTAGGATCTGCAGTACCATATGATCCTGTAACCTTGTGATGAGGTATCTCTGAACCATCTCCTTTCCTCAGGGCATGGATGGCCTGGCCAGAGGTCTGTCTGACCCTCAGTAGATCTGCAACACATGGTGACACACACAGATTGTATTAGTGTAGATGCTAATAATGCTCACAGGAATAAAGCAAATGTTTAAAGAGGATAAATTAAAATGTATTCAGTTGAAAGTATGTAATGGAAAAAAAAAATTATTATTATTATTGTTACTAATGTATAGAAAACCTACTTTCCAGAACATTGACCATATTGTGTGTGTTCCGTTGAAGGGTGCTGGGCCACTGGTTGAGGGCTATACAGCCGACACCAGCCATGCTCAACAGCAGAGCAGTCTCCAGTGGTTTCTCAAGGGCAAACTGTCCTGCACTGGAGAGGAGAGAATTAGTGAGATTATGAGAGACAGAAGGGGCAGTAACCCTGTTTCTATAATCTGTCACCAACTAAAAAGTTGAAATACTGCCAAACGCAAAAAACATGAATTTTCACTATCGTAAGTGAATCTAGTAAAACACATTAGGAAGGCGGATATATTTGGGAACAAAGGAAAGTGCCAATTGTTTAAAAGAAAAAGGCAGTGGCAGAGTTAAAGCTTCAATCAAAACAGCTATTTCGTTACCTCTTGTGCATGTCAAGGTTTGATTGGCGGAGAAGACTGGCATTGTTGTGAACTAGGTCAAAGAGCAGAGCCATGCGACACTCTGAGGAGAACAAACATCATTATCTGGCAACAGAATAAATAAAGCTCTTCTAGAAGCAGACAACTATTCACTAACAGCTGTATAAAATAGATAAATAAATCTCCTCAAGAAAATACATGCTCAGAGTACCTCAGTAGCCTGTCATCTCTGGCTGCCCCTTTCTTAATGCAGAAATACATACTGCTTGCACCTATGCCTCTTTGACCTTGTGATGATTATTTTTGCATTTGCATTTGCAACAGCATAGAGCCAAACTCCTGCACTACTTCCGGCTTCAAGCTTGAGTTCCACAGTATTTTTTTTAAAGTAAAAATGTGTTATGTGATCTTGTATTTTTTCATCATTTCCTAGGAGATTCATTTCCAGGATTCATTTGAGTTGTAGCTGTTGCTATGCTAACAAAATTATATTATTTTAAGTAACAGTAGCAACAAGTATTAGATAGACATTTAGCTTAAAATATAGACAAATTGTTATGTTCCAGACCAGGGATGGAAATTAGCACCCGCATTTGGCGGGCGGATTTTCTGATTGGCAGCTAAATGTTGAAAGGCTTCCCGCCACATTAGCTGGTAAATGATGTGGCATGATATCGCCATATAATATCTATTTGAGAGTAATTGGCAGCTGTGTGGCATTCTTGTTTATTGTGTGTTGCACTGAAATTGGTCCCAGATGTACCAAGGGATCTAAAATCATGTAACACACGAATTAGGGGTTGTTTCATATCTGCATATGTCTGATTAGATTAATACAGAACAAAAGTTTGCAGCCTTATGCTTTCACATAGCGGTCTGGCTTTACCGGAACCAGTGGCGTGCAAAAAGACTGTTACAATGGCGCAGTATCCCCGTGAAATAAAGCTGCCTTTTTTTTTAGCTTTTAACTGACTAGCCACCAGCTTAATGTGGCGACATTTAACTTTACCACCAAACCACCAAACGAGAAAACAAAGAGGAGGCTGAAGCAGAAAATAAATAAATAAAGTTGGGGGTCCAGTCTACTGTCTGATCCACAATCAGATCTTCTAACGGTCCTGTCCTCTCCAGAGATAAGGAGTACGATTCACATAGGCAGCAGGCCAGAAGAGGGTGATTGTAGTAAGTGAGCAGTCTGATGAGGTTTAAGTTGAATGATTAATAATCATAGAAAACAATTTACTGTCATGTCTTAAGTAGATTTAATAACAATAATATGATTTTGCTTCAAATTTCACTCTTGCCTCTTCTTAAGTTTGTTTTTGATATAATACCTTATTATCTCAATTAAAAGTATAGAAACAAATTTATGTACATTTGTTTCCTTACTTTAAGTAAGATAGTCTTCTTTTGTGTCACATATGTTATACAAAAGGTAATTTATTATTTTGGCTGGTAAAAAATATGCTTGGCTGTTGGATTTTTTCATAGGTAGGTAGGTTTATTGTCAGAATATAACAAGGTGAGGTAAAAAGTTAATTTCCACGATCAATGAAAGATTGGTAGGTAAGCCTTGTTTTTAGCCTAGCTGGAAATGCTTTTTGCTATGTCGTAATGCATATTGTAAAATGGTGAAGTTGGTCTAAGCTTTGCGTTCAGTCAATAAAAGAATTGTTCATCATCCCACCCTTAAGAGGTCAGAAATGTGCACAAAATATATCAGGCTGATGGGTCCAGTAGTAAGCGTGATTAGCTGCAGACAGATGCATAACACACACACACACACACACACAACCAAACGCATGATCCCCTCAAGCTCTGCTTGGTGGGAGCCTTTAGAATTTTCTGCTACTTCTGGTTTATTTCATTTTCAATTATTTCCTGGAATCACTTTTAGGCAGAAGAAATGGGAGCTACACTTTCTCTGTACAAAATATATCACTTACATAACATTTTAGCAGTGGCAGCTTAGTGTACTTTACACAAGGAGAAGAAACAATCAGATAAAAAACACTTTAGAATATTGTGGCAGGCATGCCACAGGGACAAAGAGGCTTTTAGCAGGACTCTCCAGCACAGAAACATTATTGCTTCAATACAGTCCATCTATTTCTTAATTCACAAGCTTTTACTGTAAAAGCACATTGACCTTGTGAGAAAACTGGTGCTTGAGTCTGACACCAGGTGTGTCAACGAAGTCGTCTAACATCTTCAAGGATAGACAGTGCCTTGCAGCTATTCTGGCTGACTTCCTATACAGTGGCAATCATGTCTGTGACTGAAGCAAAACCCTGCTCTCACCCTCCCCTTTGCTATGCAGCTGCCTGGGGCCAGAACAGCAGTCCACTCCAGTCATCATCACAGCGGCGTCTACAACCCGGACACATTGCCGAACTCTACCTGTTCGTGACGGCTATCTCACTGATCTGTTGTAGCTCATACGTCTATGGTTCCGCAATGAAAAGCAAGAGGTTCCGCGACGTACACACGCTGATCACACAAAGGGGTCGACTTAAAGACGAGTGATAAACACAATTACCAGATAAGATAAATGTGCAGATGGTGCTGCATGTACTGAATGACACCTTTTTCTGAGAAACACAGATCTGCCATCGCCCAGTCATATCCTGATGGCCAATTAAGTAGGAATGGTGCAGTGTTTTGTGAAGTAACAGCTGGAATTCAGACCATGGTGTCAGTCATACTATAGTTAGCAGCAGTACGGCAGGCTAGCGGATGGCACATATGGCTGGCCTGGGGCGATGTGTGAGGCCAAACCTGACACTCTGTCAATCACACTGGATCAACCTACCCTCAGACTTTGTTTGCTAGTGAAAGAGAGGAAAAAAGCCATAAAGATGAAGCCATACTTGTTTTGTGAAATATCTTTAAAGGTGTAAAGAGTTGAAAGGCGACTTGGGGCAGGTTTTTATTTATTTAACGAGTACTGAGGGAGGAAAAAGGCCTCCTCTAATAATTGAGAAGGTGGAGATGTTTTGAGTCTCCTAGTCCCCTAACAAGTAAATAAATTACAACAACCAGGAGTTATTTTTAAAATAGTCCAAGAAAAACAAGACTATGTCATGGCTGGACCATGTATGGTCAATGTACACTTGATGTAATTAAGGTGATGTCATTGCGCTTCTAGTGTCCAGTGCATAGGTCGTGCACCTCCCAGTCAGTTGAGACTAGGCAGCCACTGTATGTGCGAGTCTTTTCATTTTGAGATTGGATACATTTTTTTGTAAGTTATTTTTTTCTTACTTTGTTGAATAGAACATGACATTAGTTTATTACAATATAACTAAGAACATGACTACCACAAATACTGATAAAAGCAAATAACTTACATTTTAAAGTGCTTCAAAAACAGGAGATATAAAAAATGTAAATTTGATTTAATAATATTTTGCCAGCAGAATCTAATTGTTTACAGGATGTTCAACATTTGCTTTATTACATATTCCAAATACTTGACTTTTTTCTTTAATGGCGATAAAGTATGTCCATGAATATAAATTAGCTTACACGTCCTCCTTGTCTTTGAGGAGCTATATCGCAGAGTGAGCAGCCATGCTTGGTCTATACTATGTAGTGGTGGAAAGTAACAAGTAAAAGTACTTTGTTAATGTAATTAAGTAGTTTTTGTTCCAGATTTGTCCTTTACTGGAGTATTTTTAGTTGTTGCAACTCTTTACTTTCACTTTGCTACATTTTTAAGCCAAATAGCGACTTTTTACTCCATTACGTTCTGCAAGTCATTGTTACATCGTTATTAGCATGCAGCGCACTTGAGTATGGTGTTTATTTTTGGTCATAAGTTGTGAGCGTGTCAAAAAAAATGATGTTACTCCAAACGTGCAAAAATGAACCTCCCCGTGCACGATAAAGTACTCGCGCACAAATTCAACAACCCGAGAGTTGTACAGGTAGCTGCGAGCGAGCGCCTGGCATGCTCTCAATGGATAACTCTGCTTGCACAGTGGAATCCTGGATATCAATTATGACCTCAGTGATAAAATATGTAAGTGAATTAACATTTCTATGTATGTCTGTGTAAATAAATCCTGAACAGTACAGGCATCAAAAGCAGAATTCATGTCTGAGCTGATGTATTTATTACATTAGATTGTATAGGTGTACCTAATAAAGTGACCACTGCAGACACAAGTCAAGATTTTCCCTGTTGCTCCTCTGGGATGTGTGGTTGAGTGTGGTCACCCCATAGACTGTATGGGTCACCCAAACCACCGGGCTAGCCTGCCATTGAAACTACAACAAATCTCAACAGGGATGACCAACAAAAGAATACTTTATAATTTCAAAAGTGTGCACAAATGTTGTAGATTCAAATGCTAATATCATATTCTTTACTGGGGCACAGAACCAAATAACCGAAATCATGCCAATGTCCAGATACAACTAGACCTAAATGTGTACTCTCACTCCTGTAATCTCAACCTCATGAAATTATTTGGGAAACATTGGCTTTCAATATCAATATCAATTTTATTTATATAGCACACTTAAAACAACCAAGGTTGACCAAGGTACTTCACAGGTTAAAAACAACAACAAGACACTACTTACACAGTAAAAGTACAGCAATAAAACATTATAATATACAGTATATGATATATAGTGATATTAAAATTGCCAGGAATAATAACAGACTTAACTCGAAGGAAATGCCAAAGAAAAGAGATGTTTTTAACAATGATTTAAAACGTTCGAGAGTTGGGGCGGTTCTGATATGGACTGGCAGGTTGTTCCACAGGTTAGAGGCAGCTACACTAAAGGCTTGATTGCCTCTGGTTTTCAGTCTGCTTCTGGGTACATCCAGGAGGAGGAAGAAGCTCCATTAAGTACAATGGAGCCAATCCACAATCCATTAAGGCATTTAAAAGTTAAAAGTAAGATTTTAAAATCAATCCTGTAATGAACAGGAAGCCAGTAGAGGGAGCGCAACACAGGTGTGATGTGGTCCCTCTTCTTCTTTCCTGTCAGGAAGCGGGCAGCAGCATTTTGGACTAACTGCAGGCGCTGAATCGATGACTTGTCTAAGCCCACATATAAGGAGTT